CCTTCATACAGGCGTATAGCACTGGCCAAGCCCAGCTCTCTGGTGAGCCCTTCTTTGGTAAGGTGCTATCAGGATGGCTCAGCACCAGTTTATCAACCAGTGCAGTTGCCGAGTTAGTACACTGAGTGGGCTGGAGGAGCTGCCGTGTCCTTTGTCTCTGTCATCTGGACAACCACCTGTGTGAGGAACTCTCATAGGAGCACTCAGCTGGAGTCATTCATACAAATACTGCACCCCAAGAGGGCAGGGGGTTGGCTGCAAACCTCGACACCCCAAACTGGAACAGGGACCGCTGTTCCCAGAGAATGAGATAGGAGCAGGTGAGAAATCAGCAGCAGAGAGACTGTGAGGTGTGTCACTTCAGGGACCCCAGACTGTGCCCCAAATACAGCCAACACCTTCTGTTACTCAGGAACCCCACCCTCAGCCCATGGTGACAAGGACAGACATCTGATGTGACAATACTGCTAACAACAGGGTCCTCCCCCAGCATAGCCTGCCACCACCAATATGATGACTTATTCCTATGAGGAATCTGTCCCACCTCATGACCTGCCCAGTAGGACCAGTAAAGCCAGCTTCATGACCATGAGAAAATGCACATGGTTGTGCTATCTTTGTGGACCTTGGAAGCTTTCTTCATTCACTTCAGTGATTCAAGCCTTATCGTGGACTGTGGGTCCCTGTGTTCTCTGGGACGGATAATTACCAAAGGCTTTGCCTGCTTTCCCATACTCCTAATCCTACCTCAGTGCCTGCCAAACAGCCCAGCACAATCAAAAGAACATCAAGAAAAAAACCTAAGATGCAGCTACTTCTAGCATCAGCTTCTGTCTACATTTGGTGTCTTCCTGGGATGCTGTGTGTGTTTATTTTTAATTTTCTGATGTTTTGAAATCTTAAAAACCTTTCTGGCTGGGGAGAGGTGCCCTTCCTGAGCCGACCCTGAGAGGCAGCAATGGTCACAGCCGGAAGCACTCTGATGTACAAGATCCAGAGCCAGGCCTCCTCCATCCGGCCTGCACAGTCCAGGGACCAATATTCCTCTGCCTTATTCATTTTAGGGCTCCTCCAGGGAAACCAGGGACCATTCCCGTAGCATAGAGCCCATGGACATGGTTCAGACCAGCCTGTCCTACCCTGCTCAGGGGCCTCGCTCCCGTCCTGTGCAAGCCTCCATCAAGACCTCCATCTCCCCCATGCTCCTGCCCTCTGCCTTCTATCAGGCTGAAGCTTCCTGTGCCCACCCTCCTGTCACTAAGCTCCGTAAGTGTGATAAATTTTGTTTTCCTAGTCTTCTGCTGTGTCCTCTCTTGCATTTCCACCTGAGTGATCATCACATTTAAAAAACAAACAAACAACAACAACAAAAACTAAAACACCAAATGGAAAAAATGGAGGGCAGGGGACAAATGGTTTGTGATTACTTAGGATGCTCAGATTCCAAGGTTCAGTGCAGTTCTATAAAATAACAGGCATATAGAAAAACCAAGAAAAACTAAAATAACAGGCATGCTAAATATCCTTTTCCCCTCCTCACCCAATTACCTCCTCTTTCAGGCTTAGCTCAAGGACTACCTCTTTTCCTTTGCTCCCCACCCCTGACTCCTAGAGGGGCTCTTGGCCACTGGCTCCTGCCCCTGGCTCCTGTCTCCTGGCTCCATGGTCCAAGAGACTCCTCTCTGTTCCCATGGAGTCCCAACATTCCAGCACTCCTCTCCCTAGAGCACACTTGTCTGGAAATTGATTTGTGGGTTCCTTGCCCTGCTGCAAATTCTGGGAGAACAGAGGCCACTCTTCAGGGCTGTTGCCTCAGCACCAATTCCTACAAGGGCTCGAGGATCGCCGTGATGTGGGGATATGAGTGAGTGGGTTCTTGCGGCCACAGCACCTCTGGTCACTGGATGAAAAATGTTCTCAGAGAACTCTTTGGGGCCTTCCTGAAATAGTCTTTCTGTTCTTCAGCCTGCATTTATATGGATATATGCCCCCACCAGTATGCACATAATGAATCTGATTACAGTCTTTGTAAAGGAAAAAGATGTGGAGGACCTTTTCATTTTTATGGTCTAGAAACCCAGACTATTATATCTGACTCAGTTCTCATTAATAAAACAGAAGAGTCTGGCTTTCATTTGAGTTCTTAATCTAAGGCCTGATTATTCCAAAGCATTACTAATTGCATAGCAGCATCATTTATATCACAGAACCACAATGACATACATATCCAATCACAGAGATGGTTAAATAAAATATGACGTGCTCGACTGATGGATTCTCCTGCAGGCTCTTGATGGTATCTACAATAAAATCTGAAGTTAAAGTCAAGACATAAAATCACATACACAGTAGGACTGTCATTGTGCCAAATATATCAAATGTACACCTAAAAATGGAGACATCATTGAACATTAATAGTGGCTGTAAAAACTATATGTATATTGACTGGCTATGTTTATTGACTGTGTGAATTTCTTTCTACATCTCTGAATTTTTCAGTTTTCTCTCTAATGATTTACTCCCACGGTGAAAAATCGAAATCAACAAATTATTTAATTGCTCATCAAAAATGTCTTGTTATTTTCTGCTCTAAAACTTACAGCTATTGATACTGGGTTTGTCTGCTGGAAGAGCTGTCTTGGGGCATGCAGAAGAGACCCAATAGCAAACCAACAGGAGCAGTGATGGAAACAGGAGTCCCGTAGCTTACCAACTGCCTGTGTACTGATTGCCACGGACAGTCACAGGCTCTTGCTATGTGACAGGCATGTTCCAAACATGTGTTTTTGTTACTGTTACAGTTTAGATAAAAAATGTCCCACAAAGTCCTCATGCACTCATAGATGGGGATTTTGAAAGGTGATTGGACTGTGGGACCATATAACTGACTTGCTGTTAGGAGGTGGAGTCTGGTCAGAGGAGGTGAGGCACTGGAGGTGTGCTGTGGAAGGGTCTCTCTCACTTTCTGGCTCCTTGCTTCTCTCTCTGCTTCCTGTCCACCATGATGTGAGCAGCTTTCTTCCACCCAGTCCCTTACAACCAGCCAACTATGTACTAAAACCTGCAAAAACTGTAAGCCCAAATAAACCTGACTACACAGTTCAGAAGCCTTTGGAACTGGTTTGCAGGAGGAGTTTGGAAAGGTTTGGAAATGCTGACTAACAAAGGCCCAGTGTGCTGTAAGCTAAGACAGAGTCTGGAGTTTAAAAGACCAGAAAGCTGACAAAAGGACAGATGATAAAGGCCAGGCTCAGGACATTCCAGTTGGGAACAAGGACTCTACTGATAGTTGGATTTGAGATCATGCGTGTTAGGCTATGGCAGAAAACCTGTCTACATTTTGTGAGACTAAGATTCAGAGTAGCAGATTTATTAATCTGCAGAAAGAAATTTCAAGGCAGCCCAACATTCAGGCTATAGTTTGGGTATTGTTGGGGCTTCTAGCCAGCTCTACTTTGAGAATCAAAAGCATAAGGCACAGCTAAGTGATTTTTAAAGTTTTGAGTTTCACCAGAAAGGAAGTTCATGTAAAATTGAGTCCTATAAAATGTGACAATAGAACAGATGCCTTCAGGGCATCTAAGGAATCAGCAAGACTCCACCCTCCACAGGCTCAAGGGTCTACAAGTAAGAGACTGCTTTGAGAAGGGAGCACCAGCAAACCCAGCTCATTCAGACCCAGCTAAGAAATTTCCCAGAACTCAGCCACCCAGGCACTCAGAGGCCTCTTCAGCCATGATCCAAAGGGGGTCTGGCTGCTCTTCCTGGGTCCTTCTACCAGCTGATCGTGGTCTGAAACCTCTAAAAACCATGAGCCCAAATAAACCTCTCATTTAATTTGCAGATGTGGGGTACCGTGTCTCGATGACAAGAAAGGCCTAAGACAATTACATCTTCATAAAAGCTGCAGGAGGTAAGCATTTCTGTCACTCTCATTTTATTACAGATGAAACTGAGATGTAGATGGTTAATCTATTTGCAGGCAAGAGGGGGAGCAGAGGGCTTGATCCTGGGCAGTCCTCCTCCATGGTCCACCATTTTCTTACTACCGTCTACCGCTGCCTGCAGTGTGAAAGGACAGACTCAGTCAAAATGAGCACATTCTAAGCCACATATCCTCCCCATGAGACGATCACTACGCTGGACAAAGGCATAGCCTGTTTTCCTTTTTCAGCCTGCACAGTCTATAGGTTAGTCCCCACTGACTCCAATCTGTTTGTGATCATCTCTAGTAACTACTCATTCACATGCTGTGCAAAGCTTTGACCAGAGTGTTGTCCAAAAGTTGTCCTCACATCAATCTATTGCAATGAGCCCATTTGTAAAATCGGTCAGTGTGCCCCACTTTGCAGATCCAGACCAACAGGGACACAGTGCATGCCAGCTTCCAGCTCACAGATGACCACCTGATGCTTCCTACTTGTCAGCACAATTATCGGGGACCTTTTTCATGTGCTTGGTGAAGTCGTTTCACCTGCAGACACCAGCTGCCTGAATGTGTGTGGCTGACCCCACCAGGACACAGGTGCTCTGACACTCTCTGCGCTGCGGTCTCATTTTCTCCGCCCAATAACCTACTGTATAACATGGTCATGCTGGGTGAAGGAGAGACAGAATGGCTGGAGAACAGAGCAGAACACCACGAAAGAATCAGCCCTGTTGGGCCAAAGCATGTCTCTAACTAAAGCAGCCCAGGGAGCATGAATGGGGGAGGGGAAACACAGATTCCAGGAAATCCACTGTGCTAGATTAGTTGGAAGGAAATGGCCCTGGGCTTAAGGAAATCCATTAAAAATAAAGCTTCAATATCAAAACAAACTTGCCTATTGGAGAACCTAATAAGCAAAGGGAAATTAATAAATGGAGGTAAGTCATAAAAATAAGACCCATCATTAGGGTAAGTGCTTGAGGGGAGAGTGCTAGGGGTGTTGGCAAACCTCACTGTGCTTCCTGCCTTTTTGGCACTTGAGGTCCAACTCTTGTGATGTCCAGAAACTTACTTTCTCTGGAACTGGACCACAGGATCAGCAAGCAGGTCAGCAACATCCAGCTTTTTCCCCTTCTCGATGACATCCGGATGCTTGCGCACCAACAGCCACCCGATGTGGGAGAAAAAGAAGCCTCGGCGTGCGTTGTGGGGGTCAGCGTCTGTCTCCGAGTACTTGTGGTGGGCTCGGTGATCCCTGGCCCATTCGAAAATGTCATTCTGCAGAGAGAATACAGACCCTGAGTGAAGGGGCAGAGTAGGCACCTTCTGGAAAGCTCTCAGCTCCCAGCCCAGTCCCCACTGTTCACTGGTGCTTTCCTCATCTTCTGTCACCTCAAGGTCAAGCCCTGAGGATGGGGTGGTGGGCAGGCTTTCATCAGAACAAGACTAAATCCTGAGCCGGGCATAGTAATGCATTCCCAGAATCCCAGCACTCTGGGAAGCTGAGGCAGGAGGATCACAAGTTTGAGTACTGCCTGGGCAGCTTAGTGAGATGAGACCCCGTGTCAAAATAAAAAGGGTTGGGAAGGTAGCTCAGTACAAGGGCACTAGGTTCAATCTCTAGTATTGCAAGAAAAGAAGAAGAGCTGGTAGGGAAGGGAAGGCAAGGGGAGGGGAGGGGAGGGGAAGGGGGGGAGAAAGGGGGAGGGGAGGGGAGAGGAGGGAAAAAGAAAAGAGAATCTTTACTTAGCAGAGGTCTTAGCCTGTGTCTGGAATATGTACTGCCAGAGGCCCAGTCTTGTTGGTGGATTACAGGGGAAACTTAAAAAAAAAAAGAAGAAGCCTTGGAGGAGACTACTGAAGCCTTCTGGACCATTTAGGTCAAGAAAAGAGAGATCCAGTCCTAGGATGCAGTCTTGGTTCTCAGAGGAGAGGGACAATCCCTCAGAGGAGCAGGAGAGGTGTGTTGGTTCTAGGCCTGGATCTTTCTGCCTCCCCACCTGCTTCATGTCCTTCATGTCCCACTCAGGGAAAGCAGGAAGTCAGTAAGTAAAAATCCCAAAGAGCTGTTTCTCCAGATATTTGCAGAACCCCAAGGCACACATGACATTGCTTCAGGACTATCCTAACAGAGTGTACAGACAGGGAGGGAAGGGGACTTTGGCTCCAGACAGCATCTGGTGGACAAAAGAGTCCACCAAAAGATTCTGCACTTGGCACTGCCCAGGGAGCAGGGCAGCCCTCACTGGAGTCTCAGGATGGACTCTGGTGCCCAAGGAAGGAGAGGCATCAGATGCATCAGTGTTTGCCAAACCTACAGATCCAGGTGAGATCATGGGGGGAGGCCCACACCCTAATGACCTCCTGGGATGGGGACAGTGGGAGGTGTCAAGGGCTGGGATCCCAGTGAGCTTGGAGGACCAAGAACAGGAGACATTTGGGCTGCTGTAATTAATGAGACCTTATCTATGGCCACGTATGGGCGTAGAGATGATCAGACTTTCAAATCAGACTTTCAACTTATACTCAGTTTTTTGTTATGCTTTGTTTTATTCTGACAATAATTTAAAAATCTGGAAGGCAAATGAGGTTGGGAAGTAATGCTTTTGTAGAAAAATTAATCTGAAAATAAAAAATATAGTGCATAAGCCTTTTCTTTTTATGATAATGGTGGCCATGTTTTATACTATAATACTCATTACATGGTAGTGTTCTTATCAGGAATCTTTCATTTGATAGATATCAGCTCCATCCTGCTGTTAAGAAGGGAAGAAATTGTTTCATTGTCAAAGTTCTAACAATTCTTTTAATCCAAAAATGGTCTTCAATTTCTGGTTGCTCTGGCTCACCCAAGGCTCATGGAAGGCTGTTCAGTGTCGTTAATTCCATGATGCTACTCAAGAACTTTTATATTTGTTTATATTTTATATTTGAGTAGTGTGACCTAGATAGAGGCAGTGAAAAGAAGTAGATGCTCAGCTCTGAACAGGAAGAGAAAAGGGGTGCTTGGACATCTGTATTAAGCAAACACTATAGCCTGATTTTCTGTAATCCTGAAGAGGTCGTTAGATTTTACCAGTGTATTTAAACACAGTGACTACAAAGACTGAAAATACCTTACTATTTATAATCACAACATTTGAAGTCCAGAAAGAATCTCAGATGTCCATCAAGACTACTACCGCCCAAAGAAGAGTGTATACCTTTTGTATCAGTGTATTGCTTTTATTGCAATGTCTAGGTAACCATAACATAAGAAGAAGTCACTCATGTCCCCAAAGCCTCAAGTGGTCATAGGTGGGGCTACTTCATAGAGGAAGGGGGCTGGATCTAGAGTGTGTGATACTGGGATTGATTCATCGTGCAATGCTACAATCAAGAACACTAGGATTAAAAGTATGAGTGCTACCTGCCCTAAGTAGCCTGGATAAGCTATAAGGGACAGAGAGAGCTGTGGTCCTCCCTCGTTGCTTTGCTACCTTCTCCTTGTCATGAACTGTTCCCCTCTGTGATACCATCTGCCCTTGGAGCCAGCCAATTATGGACTGAAATTGCTACAAATTGTGAGCTAAAGAAACCTCCTGTCAGATATTTTGCCTCAGCAAGAAAGGTAATTAGGACAGCGGGGTAAATTAGGCAGGAGGACCACAGGTTTAAGCTTATCCTGGGCAACTCAGCAATTTAGTATCTCAAAATAAAAAATAGAAAAAGGGCTGGGAATGCAACTCAGTGTGAAGGCCATGGGTTCAATTCCTGGTGCCAAGAAAAGGGTGTTTCCCATTACTCTTCAAGTCCATGGGGGAAAATTAATTCTTAGAAAACTTGATTTTTTTGGTTAAAAGGTTATATCAACTCTTTAATTTAGTCATATAGTTTTTTCAGTACCAGGTATTGAACCCGGGATCTCTATACTGAGCTACATCTCCAGCTCTTTTCAATTTTACTATTTTTATTTTTAATTTTTTTGAAACAGGGTTCACTAAATTGCACGAGATGGGCTCAAACTTGTGATCCTTCTGCCTTAGTCTACAAGAGTGCTGGGAATATAGGCCTGTACCACTATGCCCAGCTAATATCATCCAGTTTTATAAAAATTCAAAGTGGGAGTTCCTAAGAGCTACACACACTACCCTCACAAATAAAGGGTGATGCAAAAACAAAACTAAACAAAGGACACAATAGTGACAGCTAGAACAGAGACCTTTAATTCCTTGTACCCAGATACCCTCCTGACAAAATCACTTAACTATAACAGAAATGAAGCAAAGGTTTTGGCCATATTCCAAGTAATCAAACACTCAAATGAGCCTCACATACTTTTTGTTTTCCTTGAGGCAGGGTTTCACTAAGTTAAGTCCCTAAATTGCCCAAGCTGGACTCAGTATGCTGAGATTCCAGGCAGGTACCATTATGCCAGCTACTTTATGTTTTCTTAATCCTTTGCTATTGCTTTGTTTTTAACTGCAAAGCTGAGTCCTGATTCAGAGAACAATAGGTGAGTCAACAAGAAGGCAGAATAGAGCAAGATTCATATGCCTGACCCAAGGGCCTGTCCTTCCTACTCAGCTGCACTTCGCTTCCACCCTGAGTGACTGCAGTGGGCAGGGCGGAGGAAAGAGGCCCTCTGTGAATGCTCTGGTGATGCAGGAGAAGGTCCTGTACCTACTCGTGTTGCAGGACAGTCTGTGCTGCAGAGACCAGCAAGAGGGACAGCAGATTAATGAGGAGGCAGGGATGGGTGTCAGGAAGTGTGTATACAGGGCGTATGAGCAGAAGCCAGGTTCCTGCAGCCATAGTCCCAGCAACGCCCTGACACTCTTCCTCCTTCCCAGTGTCTGAAACTATGCGAGCCACACCCATTATCTTTGCTTCACACAAAGGAAACACCTGAGGCACAGAGAGCTGACATGTGCCCACCCATGCACCAACTCTCCTCTGAGTGTTCCGTCCACACAGGTAACTGGGGACACGTGCTTGACACAGGTGTAAGGTTGAACTCAGCAGCGACTTCTTTCCCATTCCAGACAAGTAACAAATTATGAATTGTTCAACTTGGAGTTTATATGCAACAGCAGGTTCTGACAGACCACAGTCTTAACCTCATAGCCTCTGTCAGTGGATACGCTCCGCATGGTGATTGGCGACCGATGGTTCTGAGAGCGCTGGGCGCTGGGCAGAGCTGAGGCCCAGTAGGTGGGTGAGCAGAGTATCTCGAGCATGCAGCCCAGGTGGTGATTTTATCAGTGGAGGAGCACAGCATGGTCCTCCTCTGTGATGACCGACAGAACTACAAGGCAGGCCATGTGGGCAATTAACACTATATAGCAATCACATTTAAAGAATGAAAAGAAGTAACATTAATTATAATAATGTATTTTACGTATTCTAATAGACTCAAAATATCATTTCAATATATGAGTCTAAAAGACTATTAATGAGATACTTTACACCACTTTTTTCTATACCAAGTTTTAGGAATTTGGTCTGGATCTTTAATGTGTGGCATCCTCAACCTGGTCTGGCCACAACACGTGGCCACTACATTAGATAGTGGGGTTGAACTTGTAGCCTGTCTACTGCCCATAAGTGGCTTCCATTTCACTGTGGAACATTTTTAAGAATCCAGTGCTGCCTACAGGTGAGAATGTAAAATTAGCATATACTTTGCAAAGGGTAAATGACAGTATATATCACTAGCCTTTAAATGGTGCATGTCTTTTAATCTAGCAGTTCAATTTTTGGAAGCTATCCTAAGGAAATAACCAAAGTTGTGTATAAAGATTTAACTACAAGGATACTCAGTACAGGGAACATTTGGAAAAACCCTAAATTTCCATATAACAGGATTCTATTGACTCTCTTGCAATGCATTAATTAAAGACAGTTCATGAGAGAGAAAGAGCGGGAGGGAGAGAATATATACATGCACAAAAGTTTATGGATGCAACTAGATACTCATAAGTGAAATAAATCAGATTTACCTGTGTACATATCATATTGTCTCCCTAGTGTAAGAAAGTGAAAGAGTAAACAAAATCCAAAAAGTACAATAGATATTGTGAAAGGGAAAGAAACTGCTCAAAAGGAAAGAACAACTGGCATGAGGGAAAGGAGAAAAGAAAGAAGGGAAAAAGTATATATATATATATATATATATATATATACACACACACACACAATAGATATTGTGAAAGAGAAAGAAACTGCTCAAAAGGAAAGAACAACTGGCATGAGGGAAAGGAGAAAAGAAAGAAGGGAAAAAGTATATATATATATAT